GTCTGATAATGCCTACCAAGTCCCTCGTATCCATCTCCTCTCTTCTTACTCCTTGTATGCCCCTACGTGGCACCTGCCCAGGCACTCGCTGCCACCCACTGGGACTAGAAGACCCACATCGCAACCCAACCCAGATCTGAAGGCAGCAGATCTGGCCCTGTGCTCACCACAGCCGATCAGCAGGTGGTTAACCTGCTGTGCGGCCTGACACAGCACACTCAGTGGCTCCACGACAGAGAATTAGTGAGTTCCTAGGCAGATGGGCTGCACAAGTAAATAAAACACACACAGACCCCTGCCCACTGGCCCATACACTGGCTGAGAGTCAAAGTAACAAGTGACAGTGATAAATAAGTAAATGATACAGCACTTTATAAGGTGCTGGGACCATGAACCAAAGAAAAGCCTGACTTTGGCAGGATGGAGCTGCCACACATTGGGGCATGACAACACGCTCAGTGCCAGCTCCAGCCTGTGCTGTGAAAAGTGTTTCCTCAGCTGGTGATGCCTGACTTGGGGTCTCTGGGTTGATCATCTGTCCTTAGAGCTAACCTCACAAGAACAGCAGGTGGCCCCTGGGTACCGGATTCTGAAAGTCAGCTTCCTGTGGGCCAGATGGGCTTTGTTCAATGCCTGCACTGTATCAGGCCCAAAGCTGGTGCTCAGGAGGACCTCTGAAGGCATTTTCATGATATTAAGTGGAAAATTTCTTAGAATCCCTGAAACGAAACCTAATACCATCCTTGGTATACTCTGCACAACTGTAAGACTGATGGGCCAGACTTGCTACACACCCCTGTGCTCACTGATAACTGAGTGAGTGGGTCAGTCCATACAACTTCAAATCTACCAGGCTGAGGGCAGAAACAGTAAGTTGTCCTAAGACAATAGGTCAATGTCTCATAGTATCTCAAAGGCTTAACTGAAGGCAGGAAGTGCCTCCATAGAGTTGATGGTGTGCAGTGTGTCAGCCCCAAGATCTGGACCACCACTGCCCTCACCAACAGGACCCATGAATCCACAGGCCCCCTCCTGCCCACAGGGGCAACAAGACACAGGGTAACTCTGACCCACTCCCACAGAAAGAAGTGGGGCAAGAACTAACTGACAGCAGGGTTGGGGCAGCTGACCTGCAGGGAACACAAGGAGCTCTTCCACTTCCAAACTTCATGGCTGAGTGATACATTGTCACTGCCCAAATGGGTCAGCCCTGGTTCAGGGTCAGAGATGGACACCAGAGAGCCAGTGAGGAAGGTAAAGCCCACCATGAGGACTAGGAGAGCAGCCTCTGTCACAGTCAGCACACTCAGGGCCCCACTTACCTGCATGGCCACCACGACAGTCAGGAGCCAGAGGCTCTGAGGCA